CTGATCTGAAGAGGAGAGGAGAGAGTCTGGAGGCCATGGCGAGGGACGGTGGGTGGCTGCTCAATTGGCGATGGCGGCGAGAGGGCGAGGCGACGCTGTGCTTTGAGATATTGCGGATATGTGCTGTTCGTTTAGATTCGGGAGGTTCAAAAGTCGTGAGCTCTGCTTGGATAATGGATCGCTGTGATTGGTCAAGCCGGCTACTGCGTGATTAGGTAATGCTCTGGGTCGGTGGAGGCATAAGAGGCAAAAGGTCGATGAGTAAGCGTCATTGAGACTTGCACAACTTGCGCACAATTGGAATTGTGCAGCGACCCGTTTATTCCGCGGCGAGCCATTGCTTATTCAATCCGTGGGATGCAGCTTTACGTCTATCTCCCCACCTTACCGTCTCACGGGGGGGGCTTTACTTTTGTATACGAGCTTACGCAACAAGCAACGATGCGACGCCAAACTTTTGTAAGCTTGGCAGCACCCGGTAGGTATACCTACCTATTCTTTGGTTGTGGCATGGCTCGACCACCTCTTGTGGAAGCAATTACCTACCTAGGGACCTGATACTTCGTGGTTCGCACTGCCTGACTACATTTGGGCTTATGTAGGCTCACAGGGTCAGGTGGATGACAAGATGACATGGCGCTTAGCGTACCCTAAGTTTCCGTTTCGAACATCAATACGTCTATTATTGCTACTACTATTGCTAGTTGGTACTTTTGGTATACTCTCTTTGAAAATATTCCAAGAACGATAGTTGCAAAAAAGAGGATACGTTGACCTGCAGCTTCTTCTGTCTTTCCTTCTAGCAGCCTAGGGTTCAGACAACGATCTGTAATAAGTGTCACCCTACCAAGTTGACTCAACTCGACTGTCGTCCCCAATGCCGCAGAGACAGTCAGATATCTCAGCCGAGTTGTGAAAAACCACCTCACCAAGATGTGGCCTATGTGATTGATTAAAAGACTGAGCAAAGCGGTTATGGGATAAGCTAAGTGAAGCCGACAGAAGACTAACACAAATGCTAAGAAAACAATAAGCACCTAAAATCTACCCCATTTCTCACAGACGGTGCTACCTATTCAACCACAACCGAGCCTCTACCTCGGAGAGAGGCGGCTCCAAAGCGAGACATTGGCCGTCTCCGGATTGGTCTGCTTACAAAGATGGAGAAGCTGTCAAATCACCTAGAATGTCGCTTGCAACGGCAGCGATTGGTCAATGCAAGATTGACTCAAGCCTCAACAACTCGTGCGACCACAATGTAATGATTCAATTGTGAATACCCCGTTTAGCGAGACGTCTAGTTTAAGCTTGCCAAGTGTATACAGGAGAGGGCAGAATAGTATCCGCTTCTGTCCGCTTACAAGGTCACTGGATGAAATCAAGTGGAACACAAAGAGGGAGATAGTGGTCTCGCGCACGTTCTTTGCCGCATTCCGGCAGTGGAGTATCCAATTGTGATTCTTCCTGAGCGTCGGAGACAATTCATGGCAGAACTGCGAGCCCTTCATCTCGACAGACACCTCAGACGAGAACTCGCTGTATCTCGGTGTTTTAGACAAGCGAGTCTCCGGAGCCTGGATTACCTGGGAATCGGTTTGCACTCTGTTAGGCCCCGATTCGTCCTAGACCTTTACCAGACACAAGAGTTAGGTGTGTGTGGCACCCAATCGCGAGTTGAACGAGATGGAAACACTTTCAGGAAATAAGACGTGTCGTCGTCCGTCCGGTCCCTACCTACTTCTCCTCACCCCCCAACTTTTCCGGTCGCTCGCACTACGGATTACCCGCCATGCCTCGGTTCTTCTCCCATCTTCCCCAGCTTTGCCCAGGCGCATAGCTCAGAACCCCCGCATCGACAGGGGTCTGCTGCGGAGATCTAGTGTCACGAAGCCTGAAGGTGCTCCCCCCCCAAAGGTTTAGAGGCATCACTTGTAAGCCATGGTCTCGCCGGAAAGGTCATGGCCATTGGCCGATAGGAGCGCAGGGGGTCATTCTCTGGGGTTTCGTCTGGAGCTCCTTGGCCAAGGGTATCCGTAGGCATGCAGTGATAATGGGACTAAGAAACAAATCCACTTTGGAATTGCCGTCTTCCCCGTTCTCCTCATGGCCTGCTGGTATTTATTTCAACTGGGCTTCTGCCGGCTGCTACCTGTCTCGGTCCCTCTTTCCTTGTAGACAAGAAAAATACGATTTCTCTCTGTGAGGTGTGATAAGACAAAGTGTAAGTTGCGGGTCCTGCCTTTGCTCTCAGAGACAACCACTCACGATCACTGATTCAAGTTCAGTGATATCATATTCTATTTCCAATCCGACGAGCCGCGGTCAAAACAAGAACTGGGATCACAAGAGAAGCTCAGAAAGCTTATTGCAGCAGGTCCCTTCAAGCAGCGGCGTCCGTTCACCTCCGTTCACCTTCCGTCCCGCCTCCGGGGAGAGCTTCATATCACCCTCAAATTCCCATCTCAACAGACCTGCCGCGCAAACGCTCCGTTTGAAGTCATATCCTCATATTCGTTTTGGGTAACAACACCCTCCTGAATACCCACCCGACAGCAAATTATCACTCGAATAAAACCACACATATCTATACTCCAACATGCCTATCGAATCACGGTGGTCGGAGCCCATTCCGAACTGCTCGCTGCAGACATGGATCTTCGGCTCCTCCAACGGTCCCCTCTCCGACCGCAAAGCATTCTATGATGCCGACAGACCAGACACCCACTTCCTGACCTTCTCCGACTACCGCCTCGTGGCGAAGCAAATCGCCCTCGGCCTGCAAGCAGCGGGCCTCAAGCCCGGCGACCGCGTCCTCCTCTTCTCGGGCAACAACCTATTCTTCCCCGTCGTCTTCCTCGGCGTCCTCATGGCCGGCGGCATCTTCACAGGCGCCAACCCGACCTTTGTCCCCCGCGAGCTGGCCTACCAGCTCAAGGACAGCGGCGCAACCTTCATGGTCGCCGCCGAGGGCAGCCTCGACACCGCCCTCGAGGCAGCCAAGGAGGTCTCCATGCCCGCCAGAAACGTCTTCGTCTTCGACACCACAGTGCCCGGCTCCAGCGCGCTCGAGAAGCCCGCGCGGGGCGGCGCCCGCCACTGGACGGAGCTCATCGCCCCGAGGGCGCGGGCCGAGACGTTCCAGTGGGTCGAGCCAGCCGACGCGAGCACGACGACATGCTGCCTCAACTACAGCTCCGGCACGACGGGCGTGCCCAAGGGCGTCGAGATCTCCCACTACAGCTACGTCGCCAACGGCACCGGCGTCGTAAAAGTGGCCGCGCTCGAGCCGGACCACGAGGCCTCCGTCGCCCGCTCCGTCGGCCTCTGTTTCCTGCCCCTCTACCACGCCTACGCGCAGACGTACTTTGTCGCCAACTTTGCCAAGCAGGGGATCCCCGTCTACATCATGACGGGCTTCGACTTTGTCAAGATGCTCACCTACATCCAAAAGTACCGCGTCACGCAGCTCGTCAGCGTGCCCCCGATCCTCGTCGCCCTCACAAAACACCCCATCACCGCCAAGTTCGACCTCAGCAGCCTCGAGACCGTCGGCTCCGGCGCGGCGCCCTTGGCGGCGGACGTGGCTCGCCAGACGGAGCGCATCCTCAAGAAAGAGGACCTCATCGTTCGCCAGGGCTGGGGCATGACCGAGGTCACCTGCACGGCCATAACGTGGGACCCGAACCGCCTGATCCGCAGCGCTTCCGTCGGCGAACTCATGCCCAACTGCCAGGGGAAGCTCGTCGATCCCGAGACGGGCAAGGAGGTCACCGAGGCCAAAGTCCCCGGCGAGCTCTTGATCACAGGCCCAACCGTCATGCGCGGCTACTGGCGTAACCCCAAGGCCACAAACGAGACTATCGTCACTGATGCCCAAGGCAACCGTTGGCTACGGACTGGTGACATTGCCTATATTGAAGACTATAGCACTGGCGGCCTCTTCCACATCGTCGACCGCATGAAGGAGCTCATTAAAGTCAAGGGTAACCAGGTGGCTCCAGCCGAGCTGGAAGCATTGCTTCTTGAGCGTCAAGATGTGGCTGATGTTGCCGTCATTGGGGTTACCATTGGCGGGGAGGAATTGCCGAGGGCATACATCGTCCGGTCACCAGATACCAATACTTCTGGGGAAGAGATTGCAGAGTGGCTGGCAGGTCGTGTCGCCAAGCATAAGCGTCTTAAAGGCGGTGTGTCGTTTACCGATGTGATTCCCAAGAACCCAGTGAGTCTTGCTCCTCTATTGATTGTGTGAACAAAAAGGCTAATGGCGTGACCAGTCCGGCAAGATCCTACGAAAGATTCTTAGAGAAAAGGCCAAGCAAGAAGTTGGCGACGCAGTTGCAAAGCTGTAGAAAGAAGGTTATTGACAGGAGATCCTGTAGTTATCGAATGACACTCAGAGGTGGAGGGGGTTTACATAGCTTCAAAGTAACATAGCAACTCAGGAAGAACAAAGTCACCATACACAGAGTGGCTCCCCAGGGGGAACTTCCGATAATGTTACATAAATTCGTCTATAACGTTCCACTGACTAGAGCTATCTTTCGCCCACCTTCCAAATATGTGGCTCACTTGAAGTGAGCAATAGGGTATCGTCCATACTGTACAGAACCCTTCCGTTGCTAAACAACCGTGAACTCCCTGCCCCCTTGTTACTTGACGAAAGCGTGCACAAAGTGTGCCGCCCCCAGTTTATCCTTCCACTCAGGATAAAGCACGATGAAAAAAAAAACGACCAAACTTGCCAAATGGCGAAAACCCAATGACGCCTTGCCCGCTGCCAATGCTTATGAAGTTCGATGCTGGAAACCATGATCTTCGACGGTGTCATGATGACACCTCGATCAACCCTTTCGGCTTCGACGTGACCGAAGTGACCTTTTATTCCAGCCCCACAAGCGCCCCCAATCTTTGTAAACGGGATGGATGCCCTTGAGAAAGCGCTTGGCATAGACCTTGTCTCTCTTAGCAACCCATGACCTTGTCGGTGGTTGTCCGTACTATGATCCAACTGCCAGACACGAATCAAGAACAGAGTCAAGGGAGCTCATATCTTGAGGATCTGCACCTTCCCACCAGGGCTCCGAGTCAATTTCCATTGCATCGACGTGGCCGTTGGGCAGCTGCTCTGTGATCCCCGGTTTGATATCAGAAGCTTCTTTCTTGGCTCCAGGAGGTTCGAGACCCGGGAGCCATGTGTAGTCGTGCCAATTCTCGAGCTCTCCTTCACGGTAGCCATACGATATGGCTGTGTTGATGATAGGGAACTGCGCTAAGCCACTATCGGCCATCTCCAAGGCAATCCGTACGTCGGCCATGCCAAGGGGTCCACGCTCGCTTGCTGCCTTCGACTCAATAGGTAGAAGACCGCTCTTGTCGCGTGTGAGGTCACCTCGCAGGGCCGCATCCTCCTCCTTGACGAGCTGGTGTCGGTACTTGTGGGTTTGGATCCATTGGGTACCCGCTCCAAACCCAGCGGTGGCGCCTTCTCCAGGGCCGTTGCTCTTTGTCTTGGCAAATATGGCGGCCAGTGATTCCTTGATGAATGTTTCGGTCGCAACTGTCATGAAGTGTGGCGCATCCTGGACGTGACCGCTCGTGAGTCCAGCCTCGTAGCAGAACGGCAGCATTCTGCCTTCGACTACAGGGGCATCGGGAAACTCGCCAGACTCTCCGGCCAATGGTTGCGCAAAGCGCTTGCGAATCTCCAAATCGAAATCTGCAACTCAGTCAGCACTCGGCCTTTACCAGTAAGCCGAGGTTCCACTCACTCATCTTATTTATACCACCAATGCCTCCTGCGCTAGGTGGTACGTCGGCCGGCTTGGGCTGTCGTCGGTGGTGGTCCAGGAATACATTGGAGAGGCTCTCGTAAGGGTCGAACTGATGGAACTTGACGTTAGAATATCGAGTTTCAAAAAGCTTTGGACGGGGACTAACGTCATTTCCAACCAAATCTTTGATACGCCGACGGTCTTTGGTGGGCAACTGCATCACGTCGCCCTTCAGACGACGCTCCGCCGCATCTCCAGATACAGGCTTACTGCCAACGGGAGCGGTGGGCTTGTCGTTGGCGCTGACCCAAGGGGCAAGCCCCTGGTCGGGCATCTCCCTTGTGACATTGCCGTATATCGCAGCAATTAGCTGATTATGGAGGTGTTCCTTTTCGCCATTGGGAGATGTGAGGATAGGATCGATTCGTTCTGAGTATTCGGTCTGATTCAATCGACCTAGATGCGGATGTTAGCTTCCGAGTGATGATTGCGCGGATATCCGGAGTTGCTTACCGATGAGAAACTCTGTGGTTGACTCCTTGTAGATGACCCATGCTTCCGGGCCGATGGCCTGCTTCAAGGCGGTATAAAGCGGCTCTAGGTCAATGCGGGCGGGTATGATCTGACTTGTTTTGGCGGCTTTGACAGAGCCGGGAGGTTGTACAGTGATGGATTTGGTGGAAAGCGTCGGCGTGGAAATATTTACTGATGGGCGGCTGCTCAAAGCCGCGGGGTCGATGTCGGGCATTGCGACACGGGATGCCAGACAGGCAGATCACGTCGTCGAGCGTATTAGTGGAGCTGAGCGACAGTCGCGTGCAGCAGCAGCGGCGGCGGGCAGGACTCGGCGCAGGGTGGAAAGTATGCTTATGAGTAGCATAGAACGAAAGAGGGCGACAATGCGATCGCGAATCCGGTACTATCTCGATGGACGGGGCATGTTGTGGGCGCAGGCGTGATGACGAAGTTCGGGAGTGAGGTTCCAGTGGTTGGGTCCGGCTCCGTCTCGTACAGTGGAGGAAGACGGGATGCGATTGAGAGGTGCTGCACTGCGTTGTCGATGGAAATTTTGCCGAACTGTCTGACGACAAAAGCCAGGGGAGGGCCGAGCCTGGGGAAGAAGTAGCGGAGACCACGAATTAGTATGGGAGTTGGCAGGCCGCAAGGGTTTCTGATACATCATCTGACGCTCTGACCACTTCCTCGTGAGCCCCTGTAGGCTGCTTGCAATTGGCATCAGCAACACTGCGAGGTCGCGTCCGGCGCGTCTCTCACAGCGGGCTGCAATGCTGCGAATACAACAACGAAATCAATGCGATTTATGACATTGACTGGCGCATGATCTGCTCTTCACCTCAAGCTTAAGTCTTCCTTTCCCCACTCGCTGTGGCACCCCTCCCGAGACGGCTTCACCTTGTCTTTGAACCTCGAGGTGGTCAGTGTTCAGCAATGCCATCATGTCCGCCAACCGAGAGCATCGCATTGCCGGTGCCGTCGACAGCCTAATCGCACACTTGGTACCCAACGACCCTCACGAGGACGATGCCGCGGCCCAGGAGAGACATGACAACTGCTTCGAGCTGGTCAAGTCAATCTTGGATGCGTAAGTCTTGAGACCAATTGCAATTTTACGTAGTGTTCGACCGCTTGTATGCCATGTCGCTGACCGGTCAACCTTTAGCCCCGCGTCCCCCGCCATTTCCTCCGATGTCAACCACGCCTCCGATCTGATCAAGCGGAAGCTCATACAAAGCAACCCAAGCCAAGCGCTGCGCTTCTCGAACCTTTATACCCGTCTTCTCTCATTACCAGTCTTGGGCCAGAAATGGGCTATCCTCTACCTCCTCTATCAGCTCGGCGACTCGCCCGATCCAAGCGAGCCGCTTCCCCTCGTCCCACCGAAACCTCCTCCACAAACGCAGCGCGACCCATCCAGGAAACATGAAAGAGAACGTTCGTCCAAGAACTCTACACCGATATCGAGGCAAGAAGAAGAGGAGTTCGACGATGCGTTTGCGCCAGAGGGATTGAAGAACTTTCCCCCAAACCATACCAAGAACAGTAAATCCGTTGACGAAAGAGAAAAAGACTCGGAAAAGGAGAAGGAGAAGGAGGGAGATGGCGCCGAAACGGACAAGCGACAAGTGAACTTGAAATCCACCTTACTGGCCGATAATTACGTCGAGATCGACCCTTCCGAGACGGTGCTCTTGCGAGATCTTCCCTTCACTCTCCAAGGACTATCTTCGACCACCCTGCCCTTCTCGCGGCCCGATACCATCACCTTACCCCCGACGTTACCATCTCCGATCATCTCTCTTCTACACACAGTAGCCGAGCCGTCTTTGTTATACCGACGTCTCGATGTCTTTGTCAAGTCCCCCGCACAGGGCTTGCTGAGACAAAGTATTCGAGCAGCCATAGGCGGTGAGCTGCGGTCTTATCTCAGCCTCGTCGCCACCCTTGAGGGTCAAATTCGCAAAGCCTTGTCTTCACTCGATGAATCCACTCCAAGAGGTGGCATAGGAAAGGCAGGCGTCACGTTGAAGAGATGCGTAGTATGGACCCGGGAAGCCACGATGGGGCTGCGGCTTATGAGCCTTATCGCCGAAGAATCAGAGAGTAAAAGAGGTGGACAACTCATCTCGCTCGTACACGGATTTTCCTCTTCGCATGGTGACCCCATGGTTGCAGCATTTGCCGAACGTCTACTCGTACATGTCACACGCCCATTTTACGATATTCTGCGTCGGTGGATATACGATGGCGAGCTACTCGACCCATTCTGCGAGTTCTTTGTCAAAGAACAGAAGCAAACGGACGAGCCAAAGACGGGTGGGAACAGTGTATGGGAAGACAAGTATGAAATCGACAAGGATATGGTCCCAAGCATCATCACTCAAGACTTTGCTCAAAAGGTCTTCCTTATTGGCAAATCTCTCAACTTTATCAGACACAGCTGCGGCGATTCTCAGTGGGTTGAAGACTATTCCAAGGCGGCTTCGAAGGAGTTGCGCTATGGCGATACGGCAACCCTCGAGGCCTGGATCGATGAGGCATACAAGACGACAATGAAGCGTCTCATAGACCTCATGGCCAACAAATTCCACCTATTCGAGCATCTCCAGGCGCTGAAGAACTACATTCTGCTGGGGCAGGGCGACTTCATCGCCCTTCTCATGGAATCCCTTGCTGCGAACCTCGATCGCCCTGCCGGCGCACAATACCGACATACTTTGACGGCTCAGTTGGAACACGCTATCCGCGGATCCAACGCGCAGTACGATTCGCCCGAAGTCCTCCGTCGCCTTGACGCCCGGATGCTCCAGCTGTCCCATGGTGACATAGGCTGGGACTGTTTCACGCTGGAGTACAAGGTCGATGCTCCGGTAGACGTTGTCGTGACCGACTGGGGCAATCGCCAATACCTCAAGGTGTTCAACTTTCTGTGGCGCATCAAACGTGTCGAGTTTGCCCTCGCTTCTACTTGGCGCAAGTGTATGACAGGTTCACGCGGGGTCCTCCAGAATTCTGACCCCATTGTTGTGCAAACATGGAAATCAACACGCGGCATTCTGGCAGAGATGATTCACTTCATTGGTCAGCTGCAATACTACATTTTATTCGAAGTCATCGAGTCGTCCTGGAACGAGCTCCAGAAACGGATACATCGCGAAGGCTGCACCCTAGACGACCTCATCAAAGCACATACTCGATACCTCAACGACATTACACACAAGGGTCTCCTAGGTGCGCGGCGCAGCGTCCGCCACGCTGATATGGCCACGGGCGAAGACGACCGCACCTCATACCTGTCTCAGCTCGGCGACCTCCTGCGCGCCATGCTCAGCTACCGCGACTCCGTCGACGGCCTCTACAGCTGGAGCGTGTCCGACTTCACGCGCCGGCAGGAGGCCGACGTGATGCGCATCTCCACCCGTGGGCCGCGTCACCAGAAGAAGGAATCTATGCCCGGAGGAGACGGCGAGGACGAGAACCCGGCCGTCGCGTCAGAGTTCCCCGTCCTCCAGGACCGTCTGCGCCAGCTCGGCGCCACGTTCCGCACCCGTCTGCAGATTCTGCTGGGTGACCTCGCGTACCAGCCGGACGTTGACATGCGTTTCCTCGGTGTCGCCATGAATTTCAACGATGTCTATCAGCCCTCGAGGAGGAAGACAAAGACCACCTCGACGGCCTCTGCAAACACCTCGAGAGCTTGAGAGTGAGACGAGACATGGGAAAGCTGAATCGAAAAGTTTTGCGCCGAAAAGGAACTGGCATTGGAGTTGAATTAAAGCTGAATATTAGAAGACGGCACAGATGGAATGAACGCGAAAGTGACAGCCCCACACACGCAACGTGAATCTCGATCGCGTGGAAGGCTTTCAAATCCCGGCTGAAGTTCCAGAGCCAGTTCTCAGAGGAGGAAGCTTTGGGGGCCAAGCGAGGCATTCGAGGGCTCAGGGCTGAGACAAATTGGCCATGCGATTTGGCGGGAACTCCGGGAGGGGAGATGATACCTACCTTGCTCTTCTTTACTTTGCCTTTCTCGCAGGTGGGAGCTGAATCAGTCGGTGGGCGGGAACAGAATTACGTTCCCGTCCGCGATGGCAGAGACATTTAGAATTAGGGGCGTTTGCAACCTTTGCGTACCTGGATAGCGGGATGGAAGAGGGCGGAAAGAACACTTGGTTGGAGCTTTTACGCAGAAGAAGAACTCAGAGAAGCCTCTCATGAATGATGAACTACCTTACCTACCCATCCTCACAACCATTTGTCACCTTGCAGTGAGTCTCAATTTGCGTGGCTGTTCTACCCCGTGAGGTTCGCCAAGAGCCACAGCGCCAGCTGTGGGACACACTACCGTACTCACCACTACGATTCACGAATAATGTAGAAAACTTGAAACACAGGCAGACAGTATTCGCACACTAGCATTGAGGACCTCGAGTGAATTTTTAATAAAAAGTTCATAACTATCATGCCATTTCGTCATGGAATCATGAGCCAAAAAAGATTGCAACCTTCCCAATGACAAAGGGAACAGGCGCAGTCTGGCCAGGAGATGATCTATCTGATCCTTGGGTAAACACGTATGATACGGTTACCATGCAGAATTTCCTCACAAGAGAAGAAACATGTAAAAAAACAACAACCATACCCAGGGCGATGAATGTGCTCGAAGGCACAGAACAAAAGAGATGCCCGTTTCCTTTCCTCCTCTCCCAACCGCCAGCCGATACTCTGACAAAATTACTCATATGTACAAGTTGTGATGCACGCGCAATGCAGCCCGGAGCCTCCGTTTCTCATCGAAGCCTTTTTGGTACCGTCATTGCCCCATGGTGCTGTGAACCAGAGACCCATAAGGAACCGCGTGTTTCGAGTCTTTCTAAAGCCCGTTGTTTTTCCTGGTTCCCGTTTTTGTTTTCGTACTCGACGCCAAGGTTGTTGCCGAGACAGTGCCTTCCCAGGCTGGTCTCTCAGAATCCAGATCTAGTCTATACACGAAAGTCTCGTGGCGGCCGCAGCCATGGCAGAGGAAAAGGCTCAATAGTTGATGAGCCATGCCACCGAGCCGCCAGACTTTCCAACTTTCTTTTTCGAAACAAATATCTCTGGCGATGCTCTGCAAGCGAGTGCCCGCGTATAGGCATGCCGAGAGGATTGACGCCAAAACTCGTCCGCGGAGTCGAACAGTTTGAAATCGTGATATACCGCTGAGCGTACGACCAAAGAGGAAGACCAACATAGTCTTCACAGCAGATCTTGCTGAACTCGCCACAAGGCTGAACCGTAGCATCGTGATTTCGTAAGGTGTACGCCGCCGCAATAAAGTAAAATTCCGATAGCCATCAAAGACTGCGAGACACGAGCTCGCCTTCAAACGCCATCTTCCTGGATTCCAATTCGAATTCGCTGTATCCACTGCAAGAAAGATCCAGCCAGAGTCGATCAATCCAGACAATGCGTTCAAGGACTCCGACTCCACGCACACTCTGTATATCCAGAGCCGTGAGTAAAATTCCATGCCGATAAAGGCGGCATGTGTATGTGACGGACGTGTCTAGACGTCCATCATTTCGGTGTCTTCGTCTACCAATGTGGGAAGGGCGGTGGACTCGCTAGGTCCCCAGACGCCTTCGAAGACAGTCGCAGCTGATCTGCGACGTTCCGCGACCCACGACATCGCCGTGGTGGTCAGTAATTGTTGAATGGTGGGTCGCTCGCCAGGCTCGGGCCTGACCATCCAGCGGACGATCTGATCCAGAGAGCTGGGGTGGAAAGGGTCGCTCATGAAGTCCGGAGGGGATCTGAGCTCGGTGCGCTTCCGTGTAATGAAAGGGCTGCTCTCGTCGTCCATGACCACGTTCACCCGAGTAGGGGCAATTCCCGAGTGCAGGCTGATATCCGGAGCACTGGTCTGGCCGAGAAGCGGGTCATCCAGTGATTGCATGGTAGGAACACCAGCGGCGTCTCGGTATGAACTTGTCGTAGTGGTGGCGCTGAACGTCAAGCTAGGAACTTCAGACAAGTCACCGGAGCGAAGAGCAACCCAAGTAGGGCCGTTGTCGGGAAGGACGACATTGGCAGCCATCTCAATCAGGATCAGACCGAGTGAGAAGATGTCTGCAGGCTTGTTGAAATCACCGCGAAGGATTTCCGGGCCAATGTACTCCCTGTCTCCCTCGGCGTCGACGCCCTTGGCAGCAGGCCACTCAGTAGCCAGACCAAAGTCACCAATCTTAAGGATACCCTCAAATGTGATGAAGATGTTCGCCGGCTTCAAGTCGAGATGAATGAAACCAGCTTCGTGAATGCTTTGAAGACCCTGTCTCGAAGTCAGTCCATCAGTCGTCACAGAAACAGAAACGGGGCAACTATTACTTACCAAGCCAATGTCGTGGATGACCTTCCAAATACGGAAGTCATCCAGTCGGCCTTTGCGACCAACGTTGCTCAAGAACTTGTCCAAGGTACCTTCGTCGCAGTATTCGGTCTGAATATAAAGGTATTGGTTGTATTCCCAGCTGTCGACATAGTGGATAACGTGGTCTGCGTGGGTCAGAGCCTGAAGCGCGTGCACTTCTCTGAGCTTGGCCAGACGATCCTTGGGTCCGGTGAATTGGCGGCGTGCCTTCTTCACCGCGTAGATGCGATCGGGCTCGGGACTCTCGCGGGGGTTCTTCGTCGGTGTTCCACTAAATACAGAGAGGAACGAGGCGCGGGAGTATCCGTTCTTGACCACGCGGTAGACAGAAGAGAACTCTCCCTTGCCAGTCATCTCGACCTTGTCGAAGCGGGAATAGAGTGAGTCTTCGACGTCGCCAACACCACGGCCGGCGTTGACGGGAGTCATGAGATGTGTCGAAGTGCTTTGGAAGGACTCCCGGCCAGATGGGGTGACCGGGGTAGTCATGCTCCGCGTTGACTCGGCCGGGTTCGAGATTGACAGGCAGCTGGCATCGGGAAGAACAACATGAGACGAGGGAGTTCTCGGGGAGCGTTGTTCCACAGGGCTAGCTATATGGTGAGGAGTAATCTTAGCCAACATGTCCGTTTGATGGTCACAATCCGCTGTGATGGTACAGAGTCGGGTCCGCAACGGCGAAGGAGCACTAAACCCCCTTCCAGACCTCGACCGACCAAATGACGGCAAAGAAAGACGCTGCGTAGGAGACAGTCCATCGGTAAGAGAGCTAGTTGAACCGAGCGGAGAACTCGGGAGGGGGCAACTGGCACTCTTGTCGTCGGACCGCTCCTGAGCGGTATACATACCAGTAGATTCTCTAGAGATCATCGGCCGCACAGCTGACATTGGAGGTGGAAGTGACCTCTTAGCGCTGGGGCTTTCGATGCTCTGCTCGCTCAAGTTGCTCAAGCTGGGAGTGAGACCCTTGCTCGGTGTGAGTCCATGTTTCGTGGGAGTGGGAGGGGCGTCGATATCAGCCCCAAGGCCGATGTTGAAGTTGGTGTCGAGGGAGAATTTCTTATCATCATCCAGACTCAGGACACTGCCTCTGCGTGCATGGCGCGATCCGAGCCGTTGGAAGATACCGAGACCCTTTCCGGGATTGCCACCAAACGTGCTGTGTGACGGAGCACCAGGGGCAACGAACGGAGTCGAAGGCATACCGCCAAAAGAGTAACGGTTGTTCTTCTTGATGGCGCTTCCAGGCGGAGGTGGGAATGTGGCAAAGCCATTAGTAGGCTTCTTGCAGGGCGTATCAGGCATTGTGAGCTTGTTGTCTTCCTCCGGGTTGCGGTTAACCTTCGAAACGAGGCCTGTAGACATGAAAGCTCCCGCCCATGGCTTAGCTGCCTTGAAAGGTGTGACAGTCTCATTTTCCTCCTGCATGAAGAGTGGCCGAGAAGAACCGTAGGGCATCGACTTGGCGAAGTTGAGCGGAGCTCGTGGCTTCTCAAAGACGTAGGGAGGAGGCATGCTGTTGTTCTGCTCCTCGAGGCTGTTGCCAGACGTCGAGGTCACCAGCGTCTTTGACAGCGGATGAGGCTGATGAGAAGACCGCTCAACGGGATGAGCAGAAGGGTTGGGCAGAGGCCCGTTTGAGTTGAAGGGGCTGTCCCGAGGAAGCGGAGGGGGGAGAAATTGATCCATCGATAGGCGGGGCCTGTTCTTGACGTTGGGAGTAGAGAAATCTCCGCTCATCTGAGCCAAGTGGCTCGCGCCAGACTTGCGTCCCCACGAGCTTCGATCATGCTGTCTCTGCTGCAGCGTCGAACGTCGCAGAGAGCCGGTTCTTCTCGGAATCTGAGGAGGCGGGGTAGGCGATGGGAGGGGTTCTCTCGGAGCAGCAACACTTGGCGAGCCAAAGAGCTCGTACTCTCGCTCACGGTTCGCCTCGTCATGGATGTCAAAGTTGGACTTGCTCGGCGTGCTGCTGGTATTGTCGAAAATGGTGAAATCAGATGTGTTTTGACCAAAGCTTGAAATACCGTGTAAACTTCTTCGCTTCGCGACGGGGCTACCCAGAGACGCCTGATCGAGATTCATGATCGCGTCGCTGCGCTTGAGAGCGCCCGACCCCGGTGCTCCTTGCGAATCGGCCTGACCTTCCAGATGCTTGAAAATATTCGACTGCTGAGCGTGGCCGGATACGTCGAGATGAAGGCTATGGCGTGATGATTTTTGGAGCGACGATCGGCAATGCGGACTCTGTTGTGCAGAAGACTGGTTATTTTCCTGGCCCGAGGCCTCCGAGCTTGAAGATGAGGAAGGAATGGAATTTACCCCCGATTCTGTTGTAGCGTTGAGCGCGCGTTTGAGGGGGGATTTAGGCGACGTCCTTAACCGAGTCGCTGGCCTCGAGGGGCTGCCGGTTGCCTTTGAGGATTTTGCCGAACGAAGAGAGAGTCGAACGCTGGGGCGAAAGGGTGTGGCAAGAGTTGGTGGAGAGCTAAAGGGCGTTGTCGAGGTCATAGAGGGAGGGAGCCCCGCTGGTGTATGGCTCTGGAAATCCCCAAAGTTGATGTTGTTGTGGCTGCTGCTAGGAGGCGTAGGGGTAGGAGTGTATCGTCGGCAGGGCGATTGTTCTTGCACAGGCGTATGGGAACCGCTGTGTGAGCTCTCTGAGCTGGGGGAGTTCGTACGCGCCAGGCTGAACTTTGAAGGTGATCGGGAAAGGGACCTTCGCAGGCTCCTGACTGATGATGCGAGCACATCTACATGATGGACGTGCGTGGGGCTGGGAACAGTGAGTGTCCCGCCACTGCTATTGGAGAACGACATGGTGAAGGTGTTCTTGGGTGTCGTAATGATTGGTTGTCTTTCTTCTGGTGTTGTTGTTCGCTGTCGAAATACAAAGAGCTGATGCACTTGTAGGAAGTGATGTGATTGTGTAGGCGGTAGGTGTGCTCAGCAAGCAATGAATCAATCCTTGTTCCAAACAATCTGTCGCTGGTATTCGTCGTCGTATACTGTTCCGCTGATGAACCTATGGTGTAGGTAGGTGGTAGAGCAAAGCGCGGTCGATGGTGATATGCCGTAGGTGCTGGAGGTGAAGGCTAGGTAGAGCGCGTGTTGTTATGGCGTTCCGTCGACGATCGGAGGGATGCTGACTACGAGTACGAGAGGTGAGGGCAGCAGTCCCAAGGCGCGCAGGGTAGGGAGTACGGAGTAGTTGTCGTCGTTGTTTTCGTGGGGTTTATCCCAAGATGGTGATAGGACTGGCTGGACGTGTGTTTAAGGGTCCAAGGTGTGTAGGAGGAGCCAGTACTGGTTACACGTGGACGAGGCGAAGTGGCCTGGTCAGCCGGAAAGGGCGCCCTCGTTCTTGGTGTGATGATGGGTGTGGACGCGATGTTGCAGAAAAGAAGGCTGAAAGAAAAGGAGGAAGAAGAGGGTCCAGGCAGGAGGACAAGAGGAGGCGAGGCCAGAGTAGGTAGGCACGTAGGCAGACAGAGAAAGAAGGGACGGGACGGGAGCGCAAGTGCATCTACTGCATGGCGCTAAAGTCTGAGGGGGGTGGTTTTGGTCAAGTCGAGCAGGAACGTTCAGGTATGCGTCTTGCTTCGCATCTTCATTCCGCTTTAGTTGGCGATTCGTGATCGGCAGACGACTTTCTCAAGTCATCGCATGAAGGAAGGGTAGGTGGATGGCTTCTTGTTGCGTACCCGTCGTCTGATGAGAGAGAGAGTCGCGCGCGCGAGTGGCGAAAAGGACCCTAGGGAAGGTAGTGTGACTTTGTCGGGAAGGGGACCAAAAAGTTGGAAACGCGGCAAGGAGATAGACGCAACAGACAAAACGGGAAGGGGATGGAAGGAGTTGTGAGGGTAGGAGAGAGGTAGGCGCAAATAGGATTCGGGGAAGAGGAGGATGCGCGGTGAGTGTGTGCGTCGGGTTGTGTCCGTCAAGAGCGAGCGGGTGGGTGAAG